CTATTGCCAATCTGCATAAATCTGTATTCACTTTTCTTACAGTTATATTTGTGCTTTCTTGTAATTCAGGACTATAATCCTTTTTTAAAGTAATCACAATTCAACAATACTTTGCCACTATTTTTGGATCTTACTGGATTTGCATTTTTTGTTGGGTTTGGGTCTCTTTCCCAGTGCAAGAACACTAATCTCCCCCAAAATAAAGGAAAAACAAGGAAGCAACAAACTACCATCTATTATAACAAAAGCAAATAGTGATTTACTCATCAAACTGCTTGCCTTCAGGATAAATTTTATATAAAAGTGCATGATAATTGCTGGCTAGTATCTCAACTTCTAGAATCTAGAGGGTAACATCAAGTTGTCTAAATAGAATATAATGTTTCCTTTTGGACCGTTTTCTGCTTGCCTTAATTGTATCAATAATATAATTAATTTTTGAGGCTTCTTGATTTTGATTTTCAAGATTGATTTTCAAGATGCTAGGGAGGGCTGTTTTCACATTTTGCTTGTCTTCATGTTTTTTATAAGCATTGCTAATTCTGATTTCAATTTTAAAATTCTTTCACTTTTCTTCATTGCTTCAGGACTTGCTTCAAATGCAATATGAAGGTGTTTCCGTAATGAAAGTGTTTGAGAAAGCTAAAGTGAATGTAAACCTCCTGATTTTTCTGCTGAACAAGAAATTCTATGGAAAATGATGCACTACATTTTGTTTCAATCAAGTCCCAGTTCTGGCTGTAGCTGAAATATTTAAATCTATTATACAACAGATCTTTCTTCAAGGCAGCCCAGAAGAAATTACTTGTGTGCCTTTTCATCGTTTGATAATATAATAATAAAGTAAGAAACTACGAATCAGCTTAAAACACTTCCTGATTTCTGTGGTGTTGGTACTCAATTAAAAAAGATAAGATCAAGTGACATCCAAACACTGTATGTCTGATTTTAAATATATGGACATTTGAATAGCATATATAGAAATCTTACCTCAGTAAAATTATATACTTGTAAATCAGTATCAAATACAGTTTTCCTTATTATTCATAGGAAAAATAATTTCTAATATGAGTCTCTAAAGAATAGCTTTGGCAAATATTTCTTAAGTGCTATTTTTCCAGAAGCCTGTCAATTGTAAAGTGAATTATTGTACAATTCAAAATTTTATAAAGTAATAATAAATTTAACATTTACTGTATAAAATATATATTTTGCAATTCATTCCTATTAAAAATGCACTACTGCCTCAATAAAATCTATACACAGCCTTTTAATTTAAGTGTAAAGAAGTAATTGGAATAGTGATCTGTTTTTTGCAGTGTAATTGAGGTATTTTAAATAAATTGTGCCTGTCTTTTTTGTAAGAAAACAAAAATTTCACAAATAAAATGCAATAAATCATAATCTAGTTAATTTTTAATTTTCTTTCAATAAGTGTAGTTCTTTTATATTTGGGAGGACTCTGTAACTACCAGTATGAACTGCTGTGCCTGCTTATGCAAGTAAACCAAAGAGTTTCTCACTCCATTTCCAACAATGGACTATTCCTTTTAAATTTTGCAGTGGCTTTGATAGAACAAGGTTGACTACAGAATCAAGGCACTAACCCAAATTTTCTGTAACTATAACTTTATTGATTTTTTTTAAAGATGCCAAGTTAAAAGGTAAACAGTGATAGAAAATTAGAAAAAGAAAAAGGCTCAAAAAATAATACAAGTAAATGTGCTGAAAAGAAAAAGAAAATAGAAAAAATGAGTTCCAACTTTCTTTGATTCAGATATAGATATAATGATATAGAGATAAGATTTAGATATATAGAACCTCATACTTCTCCTGCTTTTTGTGATTATCTGAGGACTATCTATATGACTATTTGATAGTTTTATTTTGGATTCAGTAAAGGAAAACCTTAGAGTTCAGAGGCCATTTGCATTAACTCCATTTCTGAGAATAAAGAGAAACCATAAGGCATTTGTAGGTTTTCAGAGATATCAAGTTGATATTTATTATTCTTTGTCTGTTCTATTTCCAGCTGTCCATTTATCTTTCTTCTTTGAAAAAGAACTCCTCCTATACACTAAATGGAGTATGATGCCTTTATCTCTTTCCCCTATCTTTATAATACTTAATATAGAACACATAACTTTCATTGGGATTCTATCTGGTACATTCTAAAATTATACTATATTATCAAAACCAATACAAATCTATTCATTAATATTGATATTCATTTATATCTTAAACATTTAACACATTACTTTTCAGTTAAATCACATACTTTTATGGGAGCACCTATTTTCCATAGTTATCCCCCCCCCCCCACATCACATATTATAGCTCATTATTTCATTACAATGTTCCTCCTCCTTCTACTTCAAATCTCTCATTTCACAAAAAAGTTTCACTAGGATAACATAGTCTAATCATTAATATTAACAATCATTTATATCTTAAACATTTTACTCATTTCAATTAAATATCATGCCTTTGTGGGAACACTTATGCTTTCCAAAATTATTTCCCCCCCCCCACATCACACATCTTAAATCATATTTCATTACAGTACTCCCTTTTTCTTAAGAAAAATTTCACTAGGTTATACTAAATATTTTATCACATTTTAAATTACATATTATTTCCAATTTTCTATGGCTATTTCTAAATACAAATATAAAAATGCAATCTTATGTACCTTTCTAGAATCCCTTTTTCAGTAAAATTTATCCATTATCTCTAAAAAACTTTTGCTTCTTCACATCTTGCTCCCCACCATTAAGGCTTCTCATCCCTTCCTTTCTCCCTTGCTTCTTCTCCTTGCCCTCTTTACCCCCTTGTCTCTCCACCTCCCTTTTATTCTGCTTTTCCCCTTTCTGTTGTTTCCTAACATAATGTCCCCTTTTCACCTTATTCTTCTCTTTTTGGGTTGTTTTTCCAGATCTTAAAGTCGTCTTTTCCTTTTTCTCTTTCTTTTTCCCTTCTCCGACCAAAGTTATTTGTTCATCAAAGATGGCTTCTTTGTCCCCACCATCCTGTTGCTCATTCAGCTTTACATAAGTATAAACCGCCATTTCTAAATATTGAAAAAGAGTGCCAAGGACATCTTTCCCTTCTTGCTTTTCTTTTTCATATTTTTGATATACAAGTTTCAGTCCATCCACAAGTGATGCCATTGTGTAGAGAAAAAGTTTTTCCAAACAACCACCCAAGTGCTTTTAATCAGAAATAATTCTCAAAAGTTCCAAAATCACCAAACAATCCAAACAAGCTGTTTCTTTTAAATACCTTCTCCTCTTTCACTTTCTCTTTCTGGGGTTAAAGTTTAATCACAAAGTTCCCTTTAAAATATATCTTTTAGAAGCCTTATTGATGTTTAGTAACTCTTTAAAGTTCTAGGCAATCTTCTCCTTATTTTCAAATTTTGCTCCAATTTTTTTTTCCTCTCCCTTCCCACTCGCAGCCAAAAAATTTTTTTCCCATCCCCTGTCACGTTAGGAAGGAGAGTGAAACGGGAAAAAAAACTTTCCCTTTTAGGAATTCACAGCTTGTAACTCTCACTAAAAACAATGTATACTTAGCAGCCTTCAAGATTCCAGGTCACTTTCTCTTGCCTTGTCCCGGTTGGAAGCAGCTTTCATATTTCTTCCAGCTTTCTCCCTCCTGCACCTGCTTGTCCGGCTGCAGATTTCTTCGTGGCGGCCATTGCTGACCGCCGTTCCTCCGCCTTGGGAGAAGGGGGTTTTGCCGGCTGGGGAGGGGGTCTGCGACACCCCCAAGCCCCTGTCCGGATCCCCCCTGTCTTCAGCTGCCTCTATGGGGCAGCTATATCCCCCAGATCCAAACGGATCGGGGGAACCTTGGCGGCGAACGCAGCAGGGATCGCGCAGTATTGCGAATCCCTGCCGCCGCCGAAACCTTGCAAACCGGAATTTTAAAAACAATTTTCCATTCAGTATTAATAGTCCATGGAAATGTTGGCAAAACTATAGCAAATCCGTTGAAATGTTGCTGGAATTTAGGAATGAAAGAGCCAAGGTTACATTTTAATTATTTATACTAATATTTATTATTTTATTTATAAATAATAAAATTTATTTATATTTGTTTAGCTGTCCATCTCCCATGAAAGTGACTGGGTGGTGTAGAACACTAAATTAAAAAAGATTAAATACTTTAAGAACAATCACAATTTAAAAAAATAATTATATATAAGCACACAAAGGAGAGGATAATATTATTATTAAGAGAATTAATATTATTAAGGGAACCATTGCAAAATCTCCCCAGTTCCCTGGAAATGGGGTCCCAACACAGCCAGATTTTGAGGGGCTTGTATAAGGTTGAGAGATGGAGCTAATCTCTCCCAGGGACAGAAAATTCCCCAATCTGGGGATTGTAGCATTTTAAATATACTGTATTTGGATTCAAGATGAAAATTTACATGGAATATATGACCAAGTACAATTATTTAATATGTTTCATCAATAGATATACTAAGTTACAGAAGGCAACTTGTGGTACCAGTCTTAAATCTCTGCCTGTGTTGGCTTAAACAGAGATTTTATTCAGTGTTGCAATTGGCATAATAGATGTATAGACCAATTGTAAGAGGAAGTCCACTGAACATAAACAATACACATAAACAATATTTTTTGCTTCACACAGTTGTTGGATTTTGTCCTTCAGTGTTATTAACATGTGAGATGACTCATGGATAGGGGGTAACAGAACTAATGGTAGCTTTCCTATTGTGAAATATTCCCACCCCCTCCCAAACATTAGCAGGTTTGTTTACTTCAATTTATTTTCCTGTTGGCAACAGGCAAGGCCCTTTTCCATTATGTCAAACTTTTTAAGATGCAAGTATCATCCTGCCAAAAGTCTGTGGTTAAAAAAAAAAAAAAATAGCACATTATGTCTTCATTGTTTTGCATTGCCAAAAGAAGAAATGCTCTCTTCTCCCACTCAACACTCTCCTTCAGAGGGAACACACTCGGGGCGAAGGCGAGGGCAGAGGAGTAGCATGTCTCCAGCCTCCCTCTCGGTTTGGGGCGGGGGTTGTAAGAAGACTTCCCCCGGCCTCACAAGGCGACGCGCTGCCTTTCCTTTCCCCACAAGGCTGAAGGAGCCTAGCTGAGCGCGGCTGTTCCTTCGGTCCTCGCCGGCTAAGGCGGCCATGGGGCAGCCACTTGTCCTGGTCGCCCTGGGCTGGATCGCGGTGCTGGCGCTTCCCTTGCACGGCTTCTCCTCGCCCCGAAATGGTAAGGCCGAGGAGGCGGGGGTGTTTCTGCTCGGGATTTAGGGTGGTCGCGGCTGGGGGCAGTTCAGCCATCTTTTCGAGAGCACGAACGGGGGGCCCTGAGCTGAGTCTCCTTGCCGGCCTCCCCAAGGAGCAATTCTGGATGCCTGGCAATAAATATCCCCCCCTTCCCTTGAAATGAACGCCCTTTTATATGAAAACGCCTCGGGATTGATAAAAGGCGAAGGCGCCCGGGCTTGTGCCTCATCTGGGGCTTTGAACTTTGCCTGGCAAGCAAAAAGTTGGATTTTCTACTCCCGGAACCGCCTTCGCTCGACTTAAACTCTGAAGTACTTGTTATGTAGTTGACTGGTTTAGAAATACCATTGACATTTCAATTTGGTGGTTTTTTTTAAATCTACCCCACTGCGGCTTCTTTCGACAGAAACCTGAAGTCTGTTGTGGTTTCCTCTCACTTCTTTTGAATTGTCTTTACTGTGGCTGCTCCTCACGTCTTCTTCTCACGTTTTCGCCATTAGCCTTTCCTTCCCAGTACTTCCTGGATGCGTTGGACTACAACTCCCATTTTCTGTGGGCAGCACAAACCTTTGGCCAAGAAGGGAGTTTACAATCCAATCAATTTGTAGAATAAGGGATTAGTTAGAGTAAGTTGCTTGAGAGAGTAATTCTGGATGGATCTCCTGCAAAGCAAAGTATTTTATCAAATTTGATCCTTGCAATGAATAAGTGTGACTTCAGTTCTATAGGTCTATAAAATCAGTTTTGGTGTATTCTCCCTCTGTGGTAACATTAAAATTGGAGGTCAACAAAAGGAAGTTAGCCTAAATATAAACTGGAATTAACAAAGAGTGATAATAATAATTAACTTAAACAATTTAAATAAGAGTTAGACATATTGTTTGAGTACGGTTATTAATAATAATCATGGAAATGTATTACTTCAGTTGTCAAAGTCAACTGTATTCCTAGTATTGGGGATATGACTAAGGGAATGATGACACTGTTATACATGTTTAGTAAGCTTGAAACAGGCATGTGGTTTATTTATTTATAATATTTACAAATTGTCTCAGTTGTTATTTAGGCAACATATACTCCCCCAGAAATACCAAACCCAAAAACTTACTTAATCATGAAACAGTAATTTATGGTCACCCACAACCATCCAGGTTTAAAAGCACATCAGAATGGGGTGGTTTTCATAGGCTTACAAAATGCAAACGTTGGGCAATTCAGCCTTCAGAGGAATTATATTCCAAAGCCCGAGGATTACTATTGAAAAGGAAACTGGAGCATATCCCATAAACTCTGGTGATATGGCATTCAGGAGACTTGCTCTAGTAGATGTTCAAGTCAGATAGACAGAATCATCAATTTGATTCATTATCAACAGTAGATATTGAGCAAAAGCTAGATTGAATATTTGATACAATCTAACATGACTTATATTTTGAGTTTTGTGTCAAAGCAACTGAATTATCAAAGAGTGGTGAAATATTGCGGAATTTTCAGTTTTCTTGAAAACTGGGAGATAAGCAAACAGAAAGCAAAATAGTATGTGTTGTGAAAGAAAAGCCACTTTTAAATATTAGCTTAATTAGTTTTTTTAGCAGAAAAAGGTATTATTTAGCTTAACTAGTATTTTTTATGTTTTGTATTAAATCAGATGATTTATTTAACAAAATAATTTTTGGTATTTCTGCTGCCAAGAGTTTGTTATAGCATAAACTGCTGTAACAAATCATTTGAAACCAGGATTTAAAGAAGACAAATGAATAACTCCCTCCTCTACTCAGTCAATTGACTTCAGTGGACTGGAAAATTTATTGTATAAGAGAGACTAAAAGAATGGGATATATTTAATCTCCAGGGAGAAAAAAGACTGAACAATGTCAATATAAGATCAAGATCTGTACTCCTTAATGTCAAATTGTAGGGCATAGAATAACAATCTTAGGCAGATACCAGTTAAGCAAACTTCATAACTCTTCTTCGTCAGTTTCTTTATATAAACAAAAGTTCCTGTGCCATGCCACTAAGAATTTAGTTATCTCTATTTCTGAATAGAAAAAAAGACTAGAAAATGTTTTCAATCATAACAAATAACCTCCCCTCAAAAGCAATAAAAATTAACAAAAATCAAGCAGCAATGACATTACATAAAAAGAATAAAATATTTATGCTGACAAAAGAATGCATTGGAATTATAAAAAGGTAAGCTTACCTACCATCTAAACTTACTAATAAGATTTACAATAAAACAACCTGTTTACCATTCTTAGCCTCTTACTCATCACTTCCACTAGTCAATCTGGTTTATTGAACAAATAAATTTCAAAACTTTCTTAAACTATTATTGAGTTTATAGTTGCCCATCTTACCCATTTGCCTTCAAGAATATATAACAGTATGTAAAAAGATAGGAAACTGTAACTGAAGATCCAGATTTTGAAATGCGCACAAACAAGATGGAGCTACAAGATGCAAAGCGGGTGGGGAAAAAAAACACCACTTCTATCCTATTGTATAAATAGGATAATACCCAACAGGCAGTGGGACAAGTATGGGAATAACTTTCGTTCCCTGTAATTGTGATTTTTAATAATTGTGTTGTATTTTTAAAAAATATAGAATCAGAATGTAGATGACATCTTTGTCATAACAAAAAAGGAACAATTAGAGAACACAAGTAAAGCAATCAACATCTTCAAAGGAATAACACTTACAAAAGAAGAAAATAACACACTTCCCATGCAGGATATCAGCAGCAGTGGATGAAATGATGGCAAACTTGGAACCCCACTCACATTGTGTTTTCGAATATCAAAATAACACAACTTCCCATGAGGAGCAATGTAAGAACTTTATTCCAGGGGTCGCCAACCTTTTGGATCTCAGGGACCACCAAACTCATAATTTTAAAACCCGGGGACCACTAATATGAATTTTGACTGACGGTGGCTTGCTGACATTTTCCGAGGGTGTCAGGTGAGGCTCCATTCAAAATCCAAGAAAGAAAACCTTAGACTCCGTAGTTTTAGAGAAAAGGACTTTTACTGAAGACTGATATGGTAGCATCAGAAGAATACAAGATCTGAAGCAATAGGCGCGAAAATTGCATATAGAAACTTACAACTCCCAACAGTTCAAAATTGGCCATCCAATCTGAGATGTCATGTGGGGCATCTTCAGGTGGTGTTTCAGACATCTGGTATGCCAAGATGGTTGACCTTGGCATAGACAGATAAGAGGCTACATCTGTGCAGTAAGTAAGTAAGCATAATCAAGCAGCATCCCAAACTTTACATTTCATCAACTCAAACCTCCAGCACTTTTCCCCCTACATAGTCCAATTATTCTTCCCTCCCCCCGTTTCTATGGCAGCCGGAAAGATAAGCAGAAGAAGGATTCTTGGAGGCTGACACAGGGTCTCTGCAGAAAGCAGCAGAGACCCTGGAAAAATCCCAAAAAAAAGTCTGCAGGAAAATTCCCCACCCCGTTTTCCTACCGATCGATCATTCTTTATTTGGGATTGCAGGATACCATCTCCAGCTCCGTTCTCAGGGAGAGAGAGAGAGAGACTTTTGGCTTCATGCAAGGAAAGCAGCAGAAGCAGCAGAAGTCTTTCTCTCCCCCAAACTGCCAGAAATGAGTCTTTGTGAGTCTTGTGCCAGCACATTCTCTTGGAGCAGGATGCCTTGCAGGGTCCCAAAGACTCATTTCTGGCGGAGTTTGGGGGAAAGAAAGAAAGACATTTGCTGCTTTCCTTGAATGCAGCCAAAAGCAGAAAAAAGAAGCAGCCCAGTGGCCAGGCCAGGCATGTGGCGCAAGTGGGGCAATTTCCCCCCTCCACCCTTTTCCCACTCCCCTCACTACCTTGTGTTGTTTGCAATGCAAGCGACGCAGCCTTGTGTTCCCGCGCAGCCTGGATTAATTGCTTTGGGGGTGATATTTCTCTGTGGATCACCAACATTTTATCACAGACCACCAATGGTCCCTGGCCCACTGGTTGGCGACCACTGCTTTATTCAGAGAAACATAAACACACTTTAGCAAGTCAGTATGCCAGAAAGAAGAAACAGACCACCTATACAACATCTTCCATGCAACTTTATCAAAAAGTGCAAACAACCCACTACAACACAACTCACTACAGCACATCCAGTTTAACATGGTAAAAGGATAACATTCCCATGTATCAAAAACTTCTCAGAAACATTATTTTCTTGGTCTTATACTGTTTCAAGCAATATGAATCTAAGCAGCATATAACCATTATAACAATGACTGTTACAACTACACAACATCACTATAGCACACAAACCATCTAATGTTCTCCAAACCATCTTAAAGAAACCAATAAGACCTAGTGGTCCAAGAAGGAGAAAAAAATGGCTCATCCATAGTATATAGTTCAAGGACTGCAGCAGCCATTATGTAGGACAGGCAGGCAGAAGACTAGCAGAGTGCATGCAAGACAACTAAGAATACGTAGCAGTCAAAAGACTTGACAAAAACTCCAAAACAAACTCCAAAACAAAGAGACAGACCACAGTTTCAAATGGGGAACTATTAGCATATTAGACCAAGGCAAATCCAAAAATGCTCCTGGAAGCATGACATTTAGACAAATTAGCCAGTAGATATATAGAGATAAATCACATTTACATGCTAAAAAAAATCTAGCACACAACAAAAAGACCACCGTACAACCCCTCCAGTGGCCCACTTTCACATAAGCAAGTATCAGGGTTAATGCCGACTGACCAAAATACAGTCCAACTCTTGAATCCAGAAGTACAATGCTTGGAGTCTGACAAGGATTCATGCATCAATGCCATTTTTTAAGACCAAACTTGCTTTTTGTGGCTGTTTAGTAGTTTGATATGTGCTGGGTTAATAAACATGCAGATCCACTTTAAGGATGGGATTATTATTTTTTGTGTATTTTTTCATGGTCTTCTATAGCAATATGAATCTAAGCAGCATGCAATATACCTTTATGACAATGATAATCAGCATACAACAACAATATAATATTATAAATAGCATTCCAACGGCATAAAAACTACCTCAATCCAATCATCTTCATCATGATTTTTAGGTACTTGTATATTTCTAGATTTGTACAGTTGTACAGTTGATACTCTAAATTTTATTTCATAAAGAATGCCTTGGTAAGGCCACACTTGGAATACTGCATCCAGTTTTGGTCACCCTGATGTAAAAATATGTTGAGACTCTAGAAAGAGTTGCAGAGAAGAGCAACAAAGATTATTAGGAGTCTGGAGGCTAAAACATATAAAGAATGGTTTCTGGAATTGCATATGTCTAGTTTAATGAAAAGAAAAACAAGGGATGACATATGTTCAGATATCTCAGGGGTTGCCACAAAGAAGAGGGGAGTCAACCTATTTCCAAAGCACCAGAGGGCAGGACAAGAAGCAATGGGTGGAAAACTAATCAAAGAGAAAAGCAACATAAAACTAAGAAGAAATTTTCTGACAATTAGAACAATTAATCAGTGGAACAACTTGCCTTCAGAAGTTGTCTGAAATGGTATAGGGTTTCTTATCTAAGCAAGGGGTTGGACTAGAAGACCTCCAAGGTCCCTTCCAACTCTGCTATTCTATTCTATTCTAAAGTACTTCCTTTCTGAAATCTTATTATGTTACATAATAATATTTCTACCAAAAATGATAGAAGACTTTTCCCTTTTTCTTTTACACTTACTCAAAGTGACTGCAATTAGTAACAAAAGACCCCAAGTCAGTTTTTTAAAAAAGTGAAAAAACAATTAGTGTTTTGTGGGTTTTGCTTTTTTTAGATCACATATCTCTTACTAGATGCATAAATTTATGATAAAATCTGACAGCAATTCTCCTCTTCTAGAAGTAAGAGAATAATGGATCTGAAGGAGATAATGGCCGTCAGCAACAAGGTGGTGGGGGATTTCTTTGTGAATGCTCTTTACGCAGCATCAAATTCCACTCAGCCAATTCATTTCATAGTAAAGGTTCCACCCGAGACATCCAATCTAAATTTGCTATTGAGACACTGGCAGCCTATGTGGAGCCTTGGGGTGGGTTCCCATAGATGGAAAATCTCATCATGGCTTCTGGGATTTCTCACTTCCCTATAAAAGTAATTTTGATTAACAGTTTCCTTCTGTTTTAAATTAAATAACTTTGATAGCTTTGTCCTGATAGTTTTCATCTTCTCCCCCTCCCCACCGATTATAAATGTTTATGATCTAAAAAGTAGCAACTGTTTAGCAAAAGATTCCATGGATGAAGGGTAGGACATTATTGACACTAGGGATAGTCCTTAGTCTATCAGAGGATAGTTATTGTAGGGAGAAATGGGAGGAGGGATTGCTATTCATTGCCTTGAGCTCCTAAATGAAAGGAAAATCTAATCAATCACCACCTGTAATAATTCCTTTAAAGACCTCATACTGGCGTACAAGAGGACTGCCATACAAATGGAAATAAAAAATAGGATTTCTTTCTATTTAAATTGAAATTTTTATTTAAATAATCTGATATATTATCTAATTATCTTCCCCACTGTCCGATTCTGCTGCCATCTCCGCAGGCTGCTGGTGAACCACAACACTATTCAGCTACAATACAAATATATGACTATCACACATATATAAACTAAAAGTGTAAAAAAGTAGAAATTACAGTACTGTAATGATATGCTGGAAATGTTTTGCAGCATGTTTTACAATGACACTAAGCTGATCGTTTACGACATGAGAACTGAAAAACATAATGCTAGCAAAATTAAATATAGTTTTCAACTCTAAAAGATTAATATATAATTACCTAATACCATAATATTTTTTTTTCTTTTTAGGCTCTTCTTTCATGAATGACAGTTGGGCAGGACCAAGATCCTTTCCCATTAAAGTACAGGAAGAAGAATATGAACCAATTCCACTTTCTGATAACGATGCTGAAAACGATTTGGAAATTGGGTCAGGATTTAGCAGTCAAAGCAGAATACGAAGTCTTCCAAAATATGGTCTAGTGGAAGATGTGGAACGCCTTCTATTTAGTGGATGGCTGACCTATTTTGTTCCAGGAGTCTATACTCTAGTTGCGTCCTTGAGTCTTCCTTTGAACATCACAGCAATTTTTCTGTTTTTGCTAAAAATAAAGGTGAAGAAGCCAGCTATAATGTACATGCTCAATTTGGCTTTTGCAGACGTACTTTTTGCGAGTGTGCTTCCTTTTAGGATTGTCTATTCTTTTTCTGGAAATCATTGGCCTTTTGGGCCTGCAATGTGCAAGTTCGTCACTGCAACATTTTACTGCAACATGTACTGCTCCATTCTGCTGATGACAGTGATCAGCATTGATCGTTTCTTGGCTGTAGTGTATCCAATGCAATCTCTGTCCTGGCGCACTTTAAGGCGTGCCTCTGTGGTTTGTATTGCCATCTGGCTCATATCTATTGCTGGAGTGGTTCCTTTGCTTATCACTGAGCAAACTACGAACATACTTCCTCTAAACATAACAACTTGTCATGATGTACTGAAAGAAAGTGACCTCCAAGAGTATTACCGTATTTTTTTCACTATTCTCTTTTCTTTTTTCTTTTTTGTGCCATTAATTGTTTGTACCATTTGTTATGTCTGTATCATCTGGTGCCTTAGCTCTTCAAACATCGCTGTAAAATCGGGTAAAAGGACACGAGCTTTATTGTTGTCTGTGGCTGTTTTATTCATTTTTATTGTATGTTTTGGCCCAACAAATCTTCTCTTGCTAGTTCATTATGTACATTTTTCTTACAGCAATTACACAGGTAATATATATTTTGCTTATCTTCTCTGTGTCTGCATTAGCAGTGTAAGTTGTTGTATTGACCCTTTGATCTATTATTACGCCTCCTCTGAATGTCAGCGTCAGTTGAGCAATTTATTATGTTGCAGAAAGGACTCTGAACTCCGCAGCCTTACCTCTGATAATCCCCTAGGCAGCAGAACAAGCCAAAGGGTTACTGGCACCAGTACCATTGATAACAGTCTCTATCGAAAACTACTAGCATAGAAACATTTTTGGGTGTTTCTGGTATATGTGCCTCCATTTTATAAAAGACTGCTGTGAGGACATGAACACCCTTTGTCAGACTGTTTTATTGACACAAAATCTGTCACTATAAGAATTGCGGTAAATGGAGGAAACTTTGGGAGACCGTAAGCAGTATGTCTGTACATACATACATCTTTATTTAAGGCAAAAATGTGAGCCAGAACGATCCAGGCAGTTTCTCATCAAGTATGGTTTTTTTTCCCACCACATCAGAACTATATTGAGCATCAGAAACAATTTGGGAGGCATACAGATTAATGAAAAAAAGTGCACCAATGGGAGCCATGGAACAATTCTTTCTTTGTGATTTCACAAAATTTCAAAAAGGCCAAGCCACTGTTTGCATAGCCCTCTTAATTTATGGGCATAGTGCTTTCCAGGGTTCTAGGTTAAATGCTGAGAACTCATATGCATAGATTTTAGGACACAATAAAGTCAACGTCAATAAACCTTGGATCTATGATTGAGTACGTTAAGTACTATTATCCTACATTATTTTTATATGAATGCACATGCGTATATGTGTGTATGTAAAATATACAAACCTATTACTTTGTAATTTTTTCCTCTATTAAAGCTGTACAAATGTGCATGGGCTGAGCTATTTTGTATTTTATTTTTGAAAATTGAATTACACTCAGTTAATAAATGTGCAAATGGTCTTTGTGTTTGTGATTTCCTATTAATTTGTAATTCAGAAACTAGCTCCCACAACAGTATTGAAAATATGCCACAAGTTAAATTCAAAAAAGATCATTCATTCATTCTTCCCATAAATGTACATTCAGGTAATGCTGCTGCTTTTCCAATGGCCAAACCATATCCTAAAGTTTCCTAATACAGGAAGTTTTCTATTCGCAATCATTCATTTAGTGATCGTTGAAAGTTATGATGACACGGAAAAAAGTGACTATTGACTGTTTTTCACACTTACGACCTTTGCAGCATCCCCCCAGTCACGTGATCAAAATTCAGATGCTTGACAACTGATTCATATTTATGATTGTTGCGTTATCCCAGGTTCATGTGATCACTTTTTGTGACCTTCTGACAAGCAAAGTCAATGGGGAAGCCGGATTCACTTAACCATGTTAGTACTAAACAACCAGTGCTTCACTTAACAACTGTGGCAAGAAAGGTCATAAAACAGGGAAAACTCACTTAACAAATGTCTTTGCTTAGCAACATAAATTTGGGGCTCAAATGTCCTAAGTTGAGGACTACCTGTAAGTTTTCAGAGGGAAAGCAATAGGTGCTGTGTAGATTTCTTCAAACCTAGGCATAAAATGCTGTGATGTTTTATCAGCATAGTGCAGTGTTTCCCCATGCTGTCTGGGGAATTCTGGGAGTTGGAGTCCACACATCTTAAAAGTCTCTGAGATTGAGTAAACACTGCTTCATTAAACGTCCATGGAGATTCTCAGTCTTCCACGTCATGGTTGTCCCAAAGGTGTTTTTTCAAAAGGCAGCTGGATTTAGTTGTTTTGAAGATGTTTCATTTCTCATCCAAGAAGCTTCTTCATTAGAACTGAAAAAGCTTCTTGGATGAGAAGTGAAATGACTTCAAGAAAAGACAAGTCCAGTTGCCTTTTGAAAAAGCTCCTTTAGGACGCTGCTGCAATATTTGAATGTAATTTCACATATAACCCTCAAATAGTGTATGCAGAACTCTGTATATTTGTTCATAAGCAGATGCTTCTGGATATTATGATGATGACATATGAAAGTTGTGTTCTTGTGAGAGACTCACTCCTTGCTTACCTTGTTATACACAGATGGTAGCATTAAAGAACCTACTGAATTTGTAGACTTTTGAGTTCAGTTGCTTCTTTGGCCACTAGAGGCTGCCATAACTACAGCAGAATTAACCAACAACCTTTCAAGAAAGAGTGGAGGAGGAAACAATAATTAAAAATAGAAGTAGCAGTAATGCATTCCTGCATTATACTTGTATGACTTACATTTTGCTTTCTCGCAGTCATACGGTATAAGATTTATTGAGAAAATACCATGAAAAGACACAGCCACATCAACAAACAATAAACCATGATTCAAGAAGCAATAAGAATAAGCTATTATTCTTTGCAGTGGTATGCTGCCCTATATTGCCCATGCCGTGGCTGGTCATTTATAGGTGTGACAGTGATTACTTCAGTTTGGCTGAACAGCCTTCCACAACTAGCAGCTAAATGCTTAAGTCACTTGCCAGTCCCTTGTGAGACGAGGCAACTTAACAGACACACCTTCAAAATTCTTCAAAATTCACAGTGAAAGGTTATTGCAGCTGGGCTGGGAAGGGCAAGTTTCTGTACACAAAACAGTTGCCTTTGCAGTAATTATTCCCTCCCCCGGTACATTTTGCATCTTTTGTGTTGCTGAAAAGGGTAATTTTCAAGATCATTGACATGGAATCATTATTTTCCACAGGTTCCTGATCCTTCTCCATCCATTTTACTGCTGGGATTGAGGCATCTCGAAATGCTGAACTGCTGATAACTATGAGCCTCTAACATCCAAATGTAACTCACTGACTAAAACATGGCAAATTTCACTTCAAAATGTGTGTTTGCTGTACTGTTGTTTCAAAAGAAAAACTAACTGCAATTTCTAAATTTTTCATTCAAAAAGATTTCTATAGATGTAGTTGGCAGCCATTGCAACATGTCATGCAATATTATAGCAATTTCTTGAATTTTCCCATCCTCTCATGGGCTGTTAAAAGGCATGATGAATTCATTCTCACATGGGGTCTCCATCTTTGACCCATGAAGATCTTGTTTCTTTCTTTGCTTCTCTATGGTATTTATTATAAAGCCCTTTGATTCTATGGCTATAGCACAAATTACTTCGTTTCTCCGCCAACAGATCGGCTGTTCCTGATTGTTTTTCCAAAGAAAGTTCAGCAACAGAGAAGACACCCCTCCTGGGTTTCATAAGTTGGCATTCTCAGAACCCAAACCTATAGGATGGCCAATTGGAGAAACACGGTCCACAAATTTCCAGCCTTATGTCATGTAAGGTTTTATATATGGTTGGAATCTTACGTTGCACCTGAAAGCCCATGGTAACACAGCTGTTATAATTAAATAGACATACTGAGGAATCCTGGACTAGTTATAACTCCCCAAGGATAGGCCAAGGGCTCATGTAGATATAAAGTGACTAGAGGATTAATCACGAGAAAGGCCCTGGTTCTGGTCCAGGAAGGGGTGCACTTGGTGCATAAGACAAATATGTGCAAAAGTTTTCCTGGCCAGAGCTCTCAACTGCCTCTTAAGTGGGAGCTCTGAGTCCAGAAAAGAGGTCAGATTATGCACCAGTTCCATTTAGAGGAGAAAAGTGTAATTCCCTCTGCAGCCTAAATTGGTAAATCACAAAATCCAATGATCCATGAACCCACAGCCCCTTAAATCTCACTAAGGTTGAGTTTAAGGCAGTTTTCTCCCTATCCAGACTAAACACCCTTCAGGGCTCAGGCACTGTGACAGAATCTTGACAGCATCTCTTGGCTGCTTCCAGTTGAGTTTATCCAGCGGCTTCATGTAGATGTTTAAAAGAAGAAGGAAGACCATTGAGCCCTGAGAGATGCCACAGACCAGGAGTTTCAGGTTTAATCACTCCTCCCCCATCAACACTGACTGGGATCAACCATGGAGAACCTCCACGATACCTTTTTCGTGCTTCTAGTCCCTGTACTTGGTTCAGAGGTAGATCATAAAATCTTAGTATGAAGATAACAGGGATGGTAGCTCCTTTCATTGACTTATTGATTGATATTGATTAAATGCCATTATGCTGATGTTCTTCCTTAGAGTCAACACAGATATTCTCCCAGAGATATGCCCTTCACAGGATACTAACTTGGTCAAGTTTCACCTGACGTTCTTTAATGGCTTCAGTGCAATAGTTATTAAAGAATACACCCCCTGGGACTTCCGGTTTGCAAGCTTTCAGCGGCGGCAGGGATTCGCGACCGCGCGATCCCTGCTGCGTTCGCCGCCAAGGTTCCCCCGATCCATTTGGTTCTGGGGGATATAGCTGCCCCGTAGAGGCAGCTGAAGACAGGGGGGGATCCAGCAAGGGGCCTGGGGGTGCCGCAAACCCCCTCCCCAACCGGCTAAACCCCCTTTTCCCGAGGCAGAGGAACGGCAGTCAGCAATGGCCGCCATGAAGAAAGCTGCAGCCGGACAAGCAGGTGCAGGAGGGAGAAAGCTGGAAGAACAGTGAAAGTTGCTTCTAACTGGGACAAGACGGGAGAAAGTGACCTGGAACCTTGAAGGCTGCTAAGTATATATTGTTCCTTGTGAGAGTTACAAGCTGCGAATACTCTAAAGGGGAAAGTTTTTTCTTTGTTCTACTCTCCTTCCTAAAGTGACAGCGGAGGGAAAAAAAACCTTTTTGGCTGTGAGTGGGAAGGGAGAGGGGAAAAAATTGGAGCAAAATTTGAAAATAAGGAGAAGATTGCCTAGAACTGCAAAGAGTTGTTAAACATTAAAAAACTTCCAAAAAATATATTTGAAAAGGATTTGTGATTACTTTAACCCCAGAAAGAGAAAGTGAAGAAGAAGAAGGTATCTAAAAGAAATAGTCTGTTTGGATTGTTTGGTGATTTTGGAACCTTTGAGAATTACTTTTGATTAAAACATTTGGGTGGTTGTTTGGAAAAACTTTTTCTCTACACAATGGCATCATCTGTGGATGGATTGAAACTTATATATCAAAAATATGAAAGAGAAAAACAAGGAGGGAAAGATGGTCTTGGCACTATTTTTCAATACTTAGAAATGGCGGTTTATATTTATGTGAAGCAGAATGAACAACAGGATGATGGGGACAAAGAAGAAGAAGAAGCCATCTTTGATGAACAAATGACTTTGATTGGAGAAGGGAAAAAGCAAGAGAAAAAGGAAAAGAGGTCTTTAAGATCTGGAAAAACAGCCCAAAAAGAGAAGAATAAGGTGAAAAGGGGACATTATGTTAAGAAACAACAGAAAGGGGGAAAGCAGAATAAAAGGGAGGTGGAGAGACAAGGGGTTAAAGAGGACAAGGAGAAGAAGAAGCAAGAGAGAAAGGAAGGAATGAGAAGCCCTAATGGTGGGGAGCAAGATGTTAAGAAGCAAAAGTTTTTTAGAGATAATGGATCAATCTTATTGTTAAAGGGATTCTAGAAAGGTACATAAGACTGCATTTTTATACCTGTATTTAGAAGTAATTATAGAAAATTAGAAATAATATGTAACTTAAAATGTGATAAAATATTTAACATAAACTAGTGGAATTTTTGTTAAGAAAAAGGGAGTACTGTAATGAAATATGATTCAAGATTGTGATGTGGGGGGGGTGGTAATAATTTTTGGAAAGCATAAGTGTTCCCACAAAGGTATGATATGTAATTGAAATAGATAAAATGTTTAAGATATAAATGATTGTTAATATTAATGATTAGAATATGGTATATTAGCGAAATTTTTTGTGAAATGAGGGATTTGAAGTAGAAGAAGGAGGAACATTTTAATGAAATATTGAGTTATAATATGTGATGTGGGTGGGGGGATAATTATGGAAAATAGGGCTCCCATAAAAGTATGTGATTTAATTGAAAAGCAATGAGTTAAACGTTTAAGATATGAATGAATATCAATACTAATGAATAAATTTGTATTATTTTTGATAACATAGTATAATTTTAGAATGTACCAGACAGAATCCCAATGTATGTCATGTGTTTTATATTAAGTATTATAAATATAGGGGAAAGAAATAAAGGCATCATATTCCATATAGTGTACAGGAGAAGTCTTTCTTCTTTTTTTAAAGAAGAAAAATAAATGGTTGGCTGGAATAGAACAGACAAAGAATAATAAATATTATGATACGAATTGAGAGGAGATAAATAAAATAAAATAAAATTGAGAAAATTCAAAGGAGAGGAGAAGTCATATAGAAAATTGAAAATGTTAATAAGATATGAAATTGTATTTAAAAGGAATATGAATTTGAATTTGTGTCTGTACCAAGAGTTATAACCCGGGACTAAGCAACTTTCAGAAAAGAGATTTTTTATGCTTTTATGTTTTGTGTTTATGTGTATTTATGTATTGTTTGTCTTGAAAATAAAATTTGTTTTAAAAAAAAAAAGAATACACCCCCTGTACCTCTTTTCTGGCACAGACAACTGGGATATGCAAAAAGAGACCAGCAGCTTCTAAATTATCCAGCAAAAATTCCAAGGCATGTATTGAAACAAGGCAGAAACTGTCCTTTCCTAATTTAAACATGAAAGTTACTTGTTCACTTGCTTACATTAAAGGTCAGCTTGTATTTTTCTATTTTTCTGTAGACCCCTATTTGCTATAATAGTGAAAAATAATAATTGACTTGCCCTTGTGGGGCAATATAGATAAGTTGCTCCACTGGGTACAGTATTCTAATGGGGCATCAAGATGGTCGGTATAACCAACTGGAATATATGGTTGTTCCTGGGAAATAGCTCGTCACTGATGACATGCTTGGGTGGGCCAGGGTTGCAGCTTGCTGACCCTGCTATGAGTTAGGAGAGATAGCAAAAGTGGACTGGCATGGTGAGAGGTGTAAGCCATACATTGAATTAAAAAAGTAGCATTCCTAGATATTATTTCCTATTTTTAAAACAATCAAACAGAGGGTAATTTCTTCCAAGTGTTAACTTGGCACTCATTTCTTCATTGTTAAAAGATTTTAAAGCATTCCAATCATGCATAGTTCAAAAGTTACGTTTGATCCAAGATTGTCTCCAGTGTTGATCATCCTCTTATGAGTTCTTTTGAGAGGACATTGTGGCATTCCTTTAGCACAAGGCAATTAGTTCTTGTGAATAACCACATTAAGGAAGCTGAATGAACAAAGCCCAAAACAATTTTGGAAACTGTTTTCTTCAAGTGCAGAGTAGTGATGTCTTGTTTTTCAGCTCTATCCTGCTGTTGTTATGTACAAATAGAGTTAAGGTTGGATTTACCAAAGGATTTCTCCCTTTGGGACCATCTATACTAATTACTCACAGTATTATTTCCAGTAGCTCTGGAATATTCTGTGCCTTTGGATGTATAAATATAGAAATACACAATTAATATAAATTGTCATCTGTTGTTTATGTCTTTGTCTCTGCTTTGGCCTGCCTTGGAACCCATGTTTTAGAATTCCAGTTAACTGCTTTGATGTTTGTGAAGTTTAAGAAACCAACATCAAGCTATGTATTTCACTAGTTGAACTGACTGATGTTTGCACTTACTTTGGACTGGATTATGGATTTATATACCAAGTACAAACAAAACTAGTAATTATCCACACCGATTTTCCAACTGTCAAATTTAATAACCACAAATGAAGTTATAAAAATAATGGTCTAGCTAGCTTTCAAGTCATTGTCAATGACCAGGATGAAATAGATCTTTAAGAATGTTTTGAACTTCCTTAAGGCAGCGGGAGCTATAAAACTCTTCCAAAGAGGGGAGAGGGCAGCCAATGATCCTCTGGGCAATGATGTTAACCCTCTGGAGTGCTGTCCTATCTGCCACTGTGCAATTGGCAAACCATTCACAGGTGCAGTAAGTTAAAATGCTCTCTGTGGTGCAGCGGTAGAAGGTCACCAGCAGTTTTTCATTCAGTTGTTGTTTCCTGAGAGATCTCAGGTATAATCTCTGCTGGGCCGTTTTGACCAGTGCTACAAACATCAATAATTCTCCATTGATAAGAAGTCCTTCCTAATGTTACGTATTTCAATTTAGACTCAGTTTTGAGTTATGAAGCTGCTTCAAAAAGCTTAAAAATTGAAGAACTTTTTGAAGAATTGCACAGATGAATACAGAGTCATCCAATTAAGAAGAATGAACATGCTACTTGACACTGATTGTGTTTAGAATGAAAAATACTTTTTCATCAGTGAAACCATTTGCTTGTTTTACACATAAATCTTCCAATTCCAAGTTGTAGTGATGAGAAATAAAACAGATCATTTAGTCCACTGAGAAGACACTCACAATAAGTGAGTTCTGTTGATTAAAAAAGCTTAATTGCTACTTTTTCTCCCTTTTTTTTCCCTGGGCCATTCTTCATTCACAACCACAGTAAATGCATCTGTACCCATAACATCTACCATAATGTGTTTTTCAGAAACAATTTGCTGTTAGGAAGCACTTTTTGAAGAGCAAAATCAAAGAGCAAGGGATAAAATCTTTGGAGCTTTACCATTATTACAACTCATTATTCTCCTGAAAAAATAATTTAAAGGAGAAAAGAAATGAGCCAAGTTGCCTGAGATTGCCCATAAGATGCTTTTTGGAACAGCCCAAGAGAGAAATTATATCACTGTTTCTTCTTTCTTTTGCTGCCCTCTGACTTCATGGATTGAAATGGTTTCAGGTTTAAGCAAACCTTCAGAACCCAACAGAATGAAAAAAGTGAAGAGTCAAATTATGTTTCCATTAAACCGAGATCAGAGAGAACAGGAAGGTGATTTAGTAATGTCGCTTATTTACAGTTTGCACTGAGAAATCTAGCGGTAGCTTAGCAGCTTTTCCAAAGAAGAAATGGACCCTTCCATGAAGATGCTGTTTTCTCTTCTCTTGATATTCTGCATGTCACTTGCTACTGTGAAAACAAATAGTAAGTACATGTCACTGTGATTGGTCACTTTTAATAGAGCTGTAATTTTACACAAGGTAAAGGGGGGGATTGCAAAATATTATTCATTACAATGTTTCAGTTTTATGGATGTTTGCTTTATATTTAATATTGGATTTCAAAGGAGAGGAAATGTCTGCGCTTCTGATAATTTTCTTGTACAGAGGCACCCCATTTGCATGGAGTCTCTTTTGGGCAAAAAAAAAAAAAAAAAAAGAGGTTGTCAGATTATTGTGGTTTCTGTTGTGATTGTCATTGTTACTGTTGCTGAACAATGTAGATAGCAATGTCCCCCCAGCTCAATTCTATACCTCCTCTAGAATCTGAAGATTTATAACCTGAAGTGTCCCAATTATAATAGGCAAAACAAAAGTTAAAAAAAAGTATAGCAACCCTAATTGTCTCAGAATGGATAGAATCTAAACCAGTACGTTTTCATCTAGACATTGTAGAAGGAGATCCATGTTAGTCTATGATAACCAAAACCCAGCAGGAACCTGGTGGCACATTTTCAGATTCAAGTATTTTATGAAAAGGCATAGACTTTTCTGATGCCCAACTTCTCCTAGTACAGAACTGCAGGAGGGCAGCACTGACTCCCATCACTCACTCCCACTTGTGCTTTGACAGTCCAGCCACATTATGCGTTTGATGAAGAATGCTGCAATTCATCAGAGCTTGTGCTTCTTAATAAGATGTGAGTCAGAAGGAGGGCTACCCGATTTCTGATTCTATTCTATTCTGTAACTTGTTCAGTGGTGGTATTCAGCAGGTTCTGACCAGTTCTGGAGAACCAGTAGCGGAAATTTTGAGTAGCTCGGAGAACTGGAAAATACCACCTCTGACTGGAGATTTTACAGTATCCTTCCCTTGCTATGGCCACCAAGCCATGCCCACAGAACCAGTAGTAAAAAAAATTGAATCCCACCACTGAACTTGTTGCATTAACAACCATAATTAGGACTAGCAACTCCATTGCTAAGTGACACAATTGTTAAGCAAGACAACACATGACCATGATGAACATACAACCTCATTTCTGCCACAGTTGTTAAGCGAATCACCCCGGTCACTACATAGGACAATACATGACCGTGAGTTGTGATTTTATTTCCGGCTTCACGGTTGATGCTGCTTGTTGGCTGTGCAGTGCACTAACGGCGATTACATGACTGTAGGATGCTGCAATGGTTGTAAAGATGCCCCACTAGTTGCAACCACGGGGATGCTCTGTTGGTTGTAAATGTGAAGACCAGTCACAAAGTTCCTTTTTCAATGCTGGCATAACTTCAAAAGGTCATTAAACAGGGAGGTTGTTAAGCACGTACTTCCTGTAATATATTTTGATGAAAAGAGTTATATTGGGTGGGGGGGAGGGAAGCACAACAAAGAATGTTTTTTCTGCACCAACTCAGAAAGCTCAAACTGCCCAAAGAGCTTCTGCTGATTCAATTCTACAGAGGAATTATTGAGTCTGTCATCTGCATCTCTGTAACTGTCTGGTTTGGTTCTGCAACCAAACAAGACAGACACAGACTTCAACAGATAATTAGAACTGCAGAAAAAACAATTGCTACAAACCTGCCTTCCATTGAGGACCTGTGTACTGCACAGAGTCAAAAAGAGGGCTGTGAAAATATTTATAGACCCCTCACATTGTGGACATAAATTGTTTCAACTTCTACCCTCAAAACAACATTATAGAGCGTTGCACACTAGAACAACTAAACACAAAGGCAATTTCCCCCCCCCCAAATGCGATCACTTTTCTAAACAACTACTAATTCCCACAACACTGTCGAACTATTTACTAAGACTATATTATTGTTATTCTTCTCATCCTTCCTATTACCTATCCACTTCTATTTATGACTATAACTTTGTTGCTTGTATCTTTACGATTATATTGTTTTATTTAATTTCCTAGTATGTTTTTGGTTGCTTATTTAGTATCCTATGATTATCACAAAGTGTTGTGTCTTATGATTCTTGATGAATGTATTTTTATGTACACTGAGAGCTTATGCACCAAAGACAAATGCCTTGTGTGTCCAATCATACTTGGCCAATAAAGACTTCCATGAAATGATGCCAGGCAATTCATGAAGTATTTATATATTTCATTTGTATATTGCTTTTTATTTATTTTTCTCCCAGATTCATCAGATCACATTATTATCTCATCTAAGCCAAGGAAACTTCTGCCAGCTTTAATCAATTCTACAAATGGGGATTTGTCAGACATCGACAATAAAGAAGGAAGTCCTATTCTCTTTTCAGATGATGTTAGGACATATTTCACTAATCCATGGATGACTCAGTTTCTCCCCACAGTCGAGAGTCTTATGTTTGCTCTGGGTCTTCCCTTAAATGCTTTGGCTATTCATATTTTTGTGACGAAGACGAAGCTTTGGAAGCCAGCCATGGTGTATATGCTCAATCTGGCTTTTGCAGATCTACTTATGCTGACCATGCTGCCTCTTAAAATCATATACCTTTTCAGTGGACACAATTGGGTCTTTGGGTCAATTATGTGCCAATTGGCCTGTTCTACTATAATGTGCAACATGTACTGCTCCATTCTGCTGATGACAGGGATCAGCATTGATCGTTTCTTGGCTTTGGTTTGCCCCATGAAGTCTCTGTCCTGGCGCACAGCAAGACGGGCCTCTGTGGTCTGTTTTGCCATCTGGCTGATCGCCATAGTGGGGACGAGCCCATTGCTGGTCATTGATCTCACTCTATGGATACCTCAGATGAACATTACCACTTGCTTTGAGGCGCAAAACTTGTCTGCTTCTGTGGACTTCTTCAGTTATTATTTATTTACCTTATCTGCTTTCTTCTTCTTTATCCCGTTATTAATTTCTACCACTTGTTATATATGCATCATAAGGCGACTTTTTTTGTCCAAGTTTATGGTACAGCGAGGGAGGAAGAGACGTGCTATCTTCTTGTCCGGCGTTGTCTTGTGCACCTTCTTTCTTTGTTTTGGTCCAGCCAATATCCTGCTAGTAATGCAACTCTTTTTTCCGCATGAACATCTTCGGAGCATCTTTTTTGCCCACATGTTCAGCCTTTCGCTGAGCACCCTCAACTGTTGCCTCGACCCCTTAATCTACTATTACGCCTCCTCAGAATGCCAGAGGCAGGTCTGGAGTGTTTTGTGTCCCAGAAAGCTGGTTCTGGTTGGAAAAACAAACAGCAACAGTGCACCCTCTGCCAAGAGCTTAGACCCTTCGTTTCCCATTTAGTGTTTTATTGCTGTACACAATGCATGGATTGATAATATCACAAGTGTGAATCTAAATGTTCAATGTCCTATGGCAGCTTTTTCCTATGCAGGAGGTCCTCAATTTACGACCACAATTGAGCCTAAAATTTTCTGTTGCTAAGCCAAACAGTTGTTAAGGTGGTTTTGTCCCATTTTATGACCTTTCTGGCCACAGTTGCTAAGTGAATCACTGCAGTTGTTAACTTAGTAACATGATTGTTAAGTGAATCTGGCTTCCCCATTGACTTTGCTTGTCAGAAGGTCACGAAAAGTGATCATATTTCCCTGAGACAATGCAACTGTCATAAGTACATACCAGTTGCCAAGTGTCCAAATTTTGAGCATGTGACCATGATATATTCATCAAATATATCTCATCAATATGTTCCCATCAATTCCATCCCACCAAAGCTTTCTCGGATTTCCCCTTCCTCTCAATATATTCATTCACATATCAGCTTGGTGATTTAGTCCTGTTATTCCAATTATGTGACCAAACAACCTCAACATACTTTCGTAGCAGAAACTCAATTTTTTATTCAAATTGAACTAGTTAGTGTGAAGTTCTGAAATCTAAAACTGAAGCTGTTGAGGTTCAGGCTGACCCTTTGTCTCAGATAGTTGTATAAATTGATTGATTTTGTGCCATCAAGTCAGAATTGACTCTTAGTAACAACATAGCTTTCTCCTGTGTTATCTGTGTAAATATACTTGTAAGTAAATACAAAGGCAATGTGCTACAACACACTACTTGGCCGCCTATTTTATATGCCAAACTAACTGAAACATATTGTTCAAAAAATTAAGAATATACAGTAGGGCAGTTATCTTTTTTAACGCATTCTCCCTACCCTAATTGGGCATGTTCCAAAATTTGAGAAACACATCAGAATCTATTTATAAAAGACAATTTGTGCAAGAAATTGAGAACAGTAGAGAAGTTGACTTTCCAAACCAAATCCCAAATAATCTGAGCTCCAAATACCAAGCATCTTGCATTTGCACAAATATCTTGCAGAAACATGCAGACTCCTCTCCTCACATAGGAGACTCGCACCACATACCCCTCCACTGCTTTGATTAATATGATAATTGCAAAGTCTTAGTTTCATCCCATCATCATCCCTGAACTACATGGTAGGTGTCAACTTACAACAGTTTGTTTGGTGACCGTTCAAATTTACAATGGTGCTGAAAAAAAGTAACTTATGATCATTTTTCACACTTGCAACCTTTGTATCATCCACTTGATCATCTGATCAAAATTCAGATGCTTGGCAACTGGTTCGTATTTATGACTGTTGCAATGTCCTGGGGTCATGTGAACACCTTTTGCAACCTTCTGACAAGCAAAGACAAGGGGAAAGCCACATTCATTTAACAAATGGGTTACTAACTTATCAGTTGCAGTGACTGACTAAACAATTCTGGGAAGAATGGTTGTAAAATCAAGCAAAATTCACTAAACAAATGTCTCACTTAACAATAGAAATTTTGGGCTCAATTGTGGTTATAGGTTGAGGGCTATCTATATGTACTTAGTACCATAACTCATTATCCTTTCCTTTTGGTGTGTGTGTAATGTAAAGCCTTTGAGCATTCTAAGAAGTCATAAACTAATCTTAATTCTCCAACCTTATCTTAAAAAGTCACTGCAATTCATGTAGGCACAGAGCAGGGGTGAGATTCAAATTTTTAACAACCGGTTCTGTGGGTGTGGCTTAGGTGGTGGGTGTGACTTGGTGGTCATGTGACTGGGTGGACATGGCTTGGTGGCCATGTTATTGGCTGGGCATGGCCAACTCAACATCACTCACACTGAGGCACGCATCTCCTCGCCTGGCCTCTCATGACTGTGGGGATGCTGCAACAGTCATAAGTGTGAAAATGGTCATGTCACTTTTTTCAGTGCCATTGTAACTTTGAATGGTCACTCCACACAAGCAAAGTACCAGCAAAGGAGGAGGAAAAAACTCCAGAGAAGTTCCTGAGACAGGAAGTCTAGTCCTGCCAAGAACATAATAAGGGTTAACAGAGAGGCAGTTTCTGTAAGCAACACCAGAATGTTTCCTTCCTACTTTCCTTACAGGATTAGGCCAGTAATTTCTTCTAACAACCAGTTCTCCGAACTGCTTAGAATGTTAACAACTGATTCTAGCGAATAGTTGCGAACTGGTAGAATCCCACTTCTGGCATAGAGGACTTTTAGGTGAAAAAACAACAAGGAAGAATGATGCTTAGAAGACAGAGCTTATCTGCCCAAAAATCCCCAGTGGTGGTGCATTAAAGGAGTTATTTGAGGACATCAATCAAAATAATATCACAACTATGGTACATTCTTAGATCATAAATCAGTGGAAGAGAACTAGGGTATGATAATGGTTACCTTTTGCATTTCAAGAAACCTATAATTTATTGGAAAGTTCCAAATCATCTTCCTTGCTCTGAACAACAGCTTTTATGCACATTAATCAGCTCACCAATACTAAGATGTTTGTGTTAACAGCATGTGAATGTAACACACAATATCATTTTAAATATCTGATTTAAGGTCTGCATTTACAAATGCTTCTGTGATAATAAATGTTATAATCTTGAAAGCGCTGCAAGATTTTTTTGTCTTCCTATTTTATTGAAATGATAATAGAGCAAACTCTCTTGAAACAGTGGACTTAAGCTTCACAGAGTACATATCACTTCAATGTTTATGTGGTCTTTATCCTTGACTGTTTACAGGTACTCCTCCATTTACAATGTTCACTAAACATTTGAAATTACAATGGCACTGAAAAAGTGTCTTATTACCGTTTTTCACACTTACAACCATTGCAGTATTCTCATGGTCACACGATCAAAATTTGGGTGCTTGCAATTGGCCTGTAGTTATCACAGTTGCACTGTCTCAGAATAATGTAACCACTATTTGTAACTTTTTCAGCCAACATCCAACAAGCAAAGTCAACGGGGGAAGCCAGATTTGTTTAATGATGATTCATTAACAATTGAAGTGATTCATTGAACAACTATAGCAAAAAAAAGTCATAAAATGGGACAAAACTCACTTAACAACTGCCTTACTTAGCAACAGAAATTTTGGGCTCAATTGTAGTTGTAAGACTAGGACGACCTATTGTCTATGTCATCAACCTGCATTATTACATTTCTTTTAAGGTATTAAAAACATCGATCTCTTCCTCGGGGCATTTCATTTTACACCCAGACTTGATACTACACATTTGAACATTTTTTTTAAAAGATATGTGATTTGGTAATATTTTAGTATTATTGGAAAATCAGCTGAAGAGTCTTCTGCTAAAAAGTATTGGAGAAACTACTATGTATTTTCACTGCTCTGCCTTAGAAGAAGAAAAAGCTGAAAAAGTACAGAAGAAAAGTACAGAAGAAAAAGCTGAAAGTAACAGCAATGGCAAAAGTTAAGAGGTTATCTTTCTCAGGAAGAGGTTTCATGTGATTTATCAAACTGTTTTGCTCCAGATCTTGAACAGCCTTCTTTAGTGGTGCTCAGCTTTGCACAATATTCCAAACAAAGTCATTCTAAATATTTATGTTACAACATTATTGTTCTTCTGGCCACTTAATTTTAAAGCAGTTTCAGCAAATACTGAAAAATGCAGTGGTTATTTACTGAGGTCTACAGCTGGAACAGCTGGATTTTCTAAGCCTTACTCGTAAGCTTTTCCTTTGTTTGGTGGCAAATGTATATACATGGAGATATTTTTTCTCAAAATATAAAAGGGAAATGAACTGCTGACTAGATAAGTCTACAGAACGGAGAAAAACACATACCATGTAGATTTTCAAGTGCACGCCTATGCTAGATTATATTTTAACCTTTACAATTATTTTTCTTATTTTTAACTAGAATTTTTCCTGATGTGGAAAATTAAGTACCAAACACATTTAGAACATTCTCTTGTACAAATAAGGAGAATAGCTGGAAGAGAGAAGTTAAAAAGCTATTCAAGAATAATCAGATGATTTGAAATAAAGTTTGCAAGGAAAAATTTATAAGCCTAACCTTATAAGAGAAGAAGAAGATGACATACTGAAGGTACCTAAAACATGTACCTCATGGGGTCCTTTTTATAGCTTTCTAATATTTCATATTGACTAGGTATAATCATTAAGTAATGGTAATTCTATTGGTAATTCTATCAGAGGTTGATAGATAGTGGAGCCCAATAAATCTAGAGACTATTATTATATAATTATATAATTTGGGGAGGGGGATTGGTTATGTATGAATTTATGATTCAGAGATAATCTGCAGCCATTAGGATGCATGCTGGTGTAGTAGAATTGTTATGCAACTGGTTGCCCTTCCACTGTGGTCTTTGGTCAGAGATGATGCAAATGTGACTTTCACTTGAGACCAAATATTCCCAATAATGCATGTAATACAATAGATCTTTATTAAGAGTATTCACTAAACTAAATTTCAGGTAGTACTTGTATGATCTAAGCAAGTTCATAATTGCTTTGCTGGTCTTAGAGTGTGAACGAGATGAAGTTCACACACAATTCATTTCAGGAGCAATCCTCCAACTTGGTCCTCAGATCAAAAGAGATAAACCGTGTCAAAAATTCAGAACTTGAGTTATATCCCCTCTTGAATACTAACATGATTATCTCAGAACTCCATAAAATGGTTAACAGCTTGAGTAGTAGAAAATCTTATAAAATGAAAAGATACATGTGAAGGATATGATTGTCAGATGCATGATAGCATACCAGTTGTCCACATAAGTCAAGCTTAACAAAATAGGCAAAAAATTATGTAAACAGTTAAAATATAAAACCAAAATACAATGTATGCAATAACTGGAGAAAAATGATAGGCTGGTGGGACAAACAAAAAACTAAAATATCAGTCAATAGCTGAACATGAATATATCTGTGTTTCTCAACCTCAACAGCTTTAAGATGTGTGGACTTCATCTTCCAGAATTCCCTAGCCTA